ATCCAGCCAGTTCTCAAGCCACCTCACCGTCCACTCATCTAGCCCACACTTCCTGAGCTTACCTAGGAGGATGTGATGGGAGACAGTGCCCAAAGCCTTGCTGAAGGCCAGGTAGACAACATCCACTGCTCTGCCCTCATCTCCCCAGCCAGTCATTCCATCCGAGAAGGCTAGCAGATTGGTCAAGCATGCTTTCCCTTTGGTGAATCCATGCTGACTACTCCTGATCACCTTCTTGTCCTCCAGATGCTTAGTGATGACCTCCAGGAGGAGCTGTTCCATCACCTTTCCAGGGATGGAGGGGAGGCTGACAGGCCTGGAGTTCCCTGGCTCCTCCTTCTTGCCCTTTTGGAAGACTGGCGTGACGTTGGCTTTCTTCCAGTCCTCAGGCACCTCTCCTAATTGCCATGACCTTTCAAAGATGATGGAGAGTGGCCTAGCGATAACATCCGCCAGCTCCCTCAGCAGAGGAACTCCCTTAGGTTCCTCTGAATGGCAGCCCTGCTCTCAAGCATATCAGCTGCTCTCCCCAGATAAGGAACTTTCTCTTTGCTGAACTTGATGAGGGCACGTTCAGTCTCCTCCAGGACATGGATTAAAATTATCAAACTGGATAGGTCCCAATACAAACTGCTGAGAAGCTTCACTTCTAACCAGCTTGCAGGTAGAATATGAATTATAAACGACTACCCTTTTAGTCAGCCAGTTTTTTACCTATCTTTTAGCCTGCTAATCTAAACCATAACATCCCAGCTTGGATACAAGGATGCTGGGGGAGTCTATGTTGAAAGCCTCGCCAAAATCAAAGCGTATAACATGGCACTCTTCCCTTTGTCCATACATCTAGTAATTTTATCGTAGAAAGCAATCAGCTCGACAGATATGGTTCACCATTAGTAAATTCATGCTGGCTATTCCCAATCACCGTCTCCTCAATCGTGTCCAAAAACTGCTTCCAAGAGGACTTACTCCATGATTATCCGAGGGACCAAAGTGGGGCTGTAATTCCCCAAGCTGTCCTTGAAGATGGGTGTAACATCTTGCCTTCCCCCGGTCACTGGGGGCTGTCCCTGACCTCCACACAACTTTTCAAAGATGGAGAGCAGCCTGCAATGGCATCGGCCAGCTTTCAGCACCCTTGGATGCGTCCTGTCTGGTGCTATGCTCTTGTGTGTGCAGATTTTTGTAGGGGTCCCTTACTTGATTCTTCTCTGCTACTGGTAGTTCCCTCCTTGACCCCTGCACCTAGTTCCTAACCAGCCCTCCTTTATTTGTAAGTAGCAGTTCCAGAAGTGTCGCGTCTGGTTAGTTCATCCAGGACCTGTGTTAAGTTATCCCTAACACCCTCCCAAAAACTCCTGAATTGCTTTTGTCACCTTCACTTGGTGCTTTTCACTTAAATTTCTGATTCTAAAAATGTTATTCTCTTTAGGTTGGCTGTGGAGCAATAGGCTGTGAAATGTTAAAAAACTTTGCGCTTCTCGGTGTTGGTACGGGGCAAGACAAAGGACTGGTAAGTCGTATACACCCGATGTCTTCGCTTTACCCAAGAAACAGTAATGTAACAAAGAATAATTAAATGCTTAGAGACTACGAAAAATGTTATTAAAAGTCAGAGCCTTATTTCAGGTTGAGCTCTGGGCAGAGGGAAAATGACCTCAGCATAAAGTAGAATAAGTGTATGATTAGGAGCAGAACCTGCTTTTAGCAGGCTTGCTGTCCTTCGGTTTCAAAAGTTTAATCAGCTAGCCGTGGTACAAGCAGAGGTTTTGGCCACAGTGGATGGCAACAGCAGTGTTTTGTTTTTGACGAGTGTCTGTATAGATTTCATGAGGAATATTGCTCAGCGCTACACTAAGTTATAACTTTGGCTGTTGCTTTTGCCCCTTCTGACTTAGGTTACAATTACAGATCCAGACTTGATAGAGAAATCCAACCTCAACAGGCAGTTTCTTTTTCGACCTCATCACATACAGGTAGGCTTCCTTGTCCAGTAATTTTTCTGGGCTGTTGTCCTGTTTCCCTGTCCTGTGCTTCCACTGAGAGCTTGCTTTGTATGTGCTTCTGTGCAGAGGAAGCTTAATGGCGCTAATCTGCTATCATTTTAAACAATACTGGACTAGGTTGGCATCCTACTTCCAGCTGGTATCAGTTGTATAGAGTTGGCTGGTCTGACCTTTGTTTGTACTGGTGTCTAACTAATGAAATCTCTCTCGCTTGCAAATAAAGGATCAGATCAAAAATGCTGTGTTGCATAAGAAGCTGCCATGAATTAATATGCTAGAAACGCTTTACTAGACCACTGAAATTCAGGGGGAGGGAAATACAACAGTGGCAGTGATATCCTCAGCAGAAGAACCACTAATGGAACTATACCGGAGTGTTAGCTGGATACCAAAGCCTAGATTTTCTGAAATACTTCTCTACAGCTTTGATTCCTCCAGGGCCAAGATCTGGGAAGGGGATATTGGATCCCCAAGAAGGGGAGTGGTGTAGTGGCAGGGGAGTCAGTAAAACACCGCTCAAGTCAGGAGGCCTCCAGCGGGTGCATACAGCCAGGGGAGACAGCATGGGACGTGGCTGTGGAGGATCCTCTTGCACCTCTTCTGGGAAGCCTGCGTGCTTGACTGGCTCTCTGAAATGCCTGTATACCAATGCACGCAGCATGGGGAATAAGCAGGAAGAATTAGAGGTCCGTGTGCAGTCGCAGGGCCATGATCTCATTGCAGTGACAGAGACATGGTGGGATAGTTCACATGACTGGGATGCTGTCATGGATGGCTATGTGCTTTTTAGGAAAGACAGGCCAGGAAGGCGAGGGGGTGGAGTTGCTCTTTATGTGAGGGAGCAACTAGAATGTATGGAGCTCTGCCTCGGGGTGGATGAAGAACAAGTTGAGAGCCTATGGGTAAGGATTAAAGGGCAGG